ACTCAGTAGTCACTCACAACAGGATGTGATTACCGAGGGTACAAAGTGATTTAAATGTGGCTGAGAGGACATTTTTGTTTTGGCCATTTGAAGTTTATACCAAGTTCATACCAAGTAAATACAAAATGGGCTGCTGACAAAGCACGATATGATTCCACATAAACTTCATGTGGTCAACTACAATGTATCAGTGATATCAGAGTATTTGCTGTTGTGTAAACTGTGCGGTTTTGGCCAAATAGTTGTCCAAATTACCTGAACATCGGACGTTACCGTTCACAAGGTGTTGGGTAATTTATGCAATGGCCTGTTTATTGGTGTTAAATTTTTTAATATCTACAAATCTTTTGCGTTTATGTTTTTTGAGGAAAAAAAAAAGGCATATCATAACTCGCATTTTCTTGTCTTGTCTTGTCTGTCTTGTCTCTGTCTGTCCTTTATATGTCGTTATGATTTTCATTTAATATCCTTCATTTTCTTTTCTCTTCACTTTTGTGGTTCTTTTTTTAAATTCCTACTTTTAACATCTTCAACCTCATGTTCATGTTTCAAAACTATGAAACCTTCATAAAAAACATTCTGCATATGGGAATTTTTCATATTATCTGTAAACATTTCACTGATTTTCTTTCCATTTATTCGCACATGACATCAAAAAAAATACAAACAATTTATTAAACTGATTTATTATTATATTTATTGTCTTAAAGCAACCGGCTATGAAAAATCTCGCAGTCTTAATAATATATCGGGAATGACTGGGTCAGCACTGCGACTCGCTCCTATTACTAGCCCGCCGTTTGAGACCTATGAGGCTCCAGGACCTCTGCGGCGCTGTCGTTCCCCCATCCCCTCCATTTTGTAGCAGAAATTGTGTTAATGATTGGCTGATAAGAGATACAGCAGATTAGCCATGGACCAATTACGTTGAAGCCTCCATTTGCATTGTACGCCATGCAAATACAATAGCAATAACATACAATGAACTCGAATGTAGAAAGAATGAGATCTTGTCTTGTGAATCAAATGGTTTATGAAGCATGTTAGGGGGAGTTAAATGCAAAATTTAGCTTTAAAGATACATGGTTATTTAAATAATTACAAGTAATGTAAAACTGATTGGGGCTGCTTAGTGAATAAAATAGTGCCACGCATCAAGAAGGTATTCTAAAAATGTGCTCAGTTACATTTTCAGATGAATATTTTTGCGCATTCTGGACCAAATTAACTTAGACTCCTAACACTCATACAGTGAAATAATCATGGAACAAGATACATGATATGAACAAAATTACTGAGCCACATCTCTTAATCTTTGAATTCAAGTGTTTCAAGTGTCCCATTGCCACAGCTGGATAAAATCCTTCACATTTTTTAAACAGTTTTTAATACATTTCACCTCTCATTCAACAGACTTTTTCCACTTCTAAAAAATGTAACTGTTATACTGTAATTGGATGCCACCATTGTAATAAGTCAGTCAGTGAAAGATCTTCCCTCCAAGTCCATAATCAACTGTAAGTTGTTTTGTTGTAATGTGGTCACAAAGCAGGGTCACACATAAAGGTCAATAACCTCCAAAGCTCCTCTGGTATTAACATCAGGACAAAAATGGTCAAGTCATAGTCAAGCAGCTCCAGTAAGTGTTATACGTAAGTGGCTTAGTACTTTTGTCCATATTGTGTAATTTAGTTTATTTAGCCAAAGACAAAGAAAAATATATACATAATATAATAAATATATAGCGAGTGAACACAGCGCCGCGTAAGCAATCCACACTGTCGGAAAAAAAACAACCTATTCTATGTAAGTCTCAATTAACACTCAGTTCATTTTCATTATTGTGACGTCATTGGGCACTTTATGCTGATAGTTTACACAGCAAAGTTAAGGGATGTCAACAAAATCAGAAACAAATGAAAGTAATATGTGTTTTATTGTACCAAAAGAGCTATCTAATTCTGAGGGTGAACATGTCTCTTGAAAATAATAGTTCTTATATTATATTGCTGTTAGGAGCCAATACATATGATCATTGTCTCGTTGTCTAATCCTTTGTTAGATGCTTGCACATTCACTTGATCCACTTGCTATTGTTGTTATTCTAGATGTCTAATATACATAAGCCAATACTCATTCACAAAGAAATGTATTGTTTCATTAGACACTTTAAATGATTTGAAAAAAATTAAAGCTTATGCTTATGATTAACTTAAGAAAAAATAGCTTAAAAATCAGATTTTATTGCTTTCCATATTTACTTCCCTGTAACGCTAATTTATTTCCCCAATAGTTTTATTGTTCCACTGGATCATTTTGCATTGCGTTGTAATATTCCTTCAAATGCACTGTCACATAATCTCCACGTAACAGCAAAATCTAAACCTTAAATCTACCCACATGTCAGCCAAATCCTTATACCAGTAAGGCAGACATTCACAAGGTCTTTTTTTAAGCTTTTTGATAACAAATTATAGTGAAAGGCAATATGTGAGAAATTTTACCATTCAAATATTTATATATAAGTGGGACTGCTTGGCTCAACACATGCTAACTGGTTATTCTGAAATGGCCTTTGGCAAAAGAGCAAAATCTTCTGTTTTATGGTAGCAAATGACTGAGTTGGCCTTTGAAGTATAATCAGGACAGTGATATAAATGAAATATGCACTTGTAGGTCTAAAACGTTTTATAGAAATTTAAATGCAAAGTATTTATAAACAAGGAAATTCAAACAAATGTACAATGTCAGATATGGATTACTACTTAATTAACTATACAGTTAAATCAAATGCAAGCACTTTACTAACAATCATTGTTAATTTGCTCACTCTTGAAGCTTGTGTCTCGGCATCAGAAACAGATAATATTACAAAACAAGTATACAATGAAAACCTTGGACCACCTAATCAAACTGGCCTCTTCCTTTTTTCTAAATCTAATTAATTTCTTCCTCACCATTTATGCTTTGAAGGGTTTTTTGACATTTTCTTTAATAATTTCAAATAAACCATCATGTTTAGGTGGGCTGTCGCTATAATTTTACCTTCAGCAATCTCAATCAAAAGCAAAAAAAGCAAAAAAAAAAAAAAAAATTTAAAAATAGTGACACATTCACAAATGCAATAAACATGCAACATTACGTTAATGCTGGAAAACATGCTGTGCACATACATATGTAAATACACAGATATATTTTTAATCTAAAACACGCACAGACTTAGCAGGCAATCTCCTCATTATCATTGATTTAGCTGTACCAGCTGTAAATGTACAAAAGTTATTCAGATGACACGAGCCATTTTTCTTGTTTTATTTCAAGCCACTATATAGACTTTTTGATGTCCAGGCTGTCATTTTAAATCGCTTTAATTTTTTAATGATTTTGTATTTTTTTTCATGAATACTGTGTATTTCATGGCAAGAAATGACATTTTAATGCCACTGGCTGTCTAAAATAACTATTAAAATAATACAATGTTGTAAATTGTTCATAGGATTCTTAACCAACAGGAACATAGACTGAAGACAGCAAAAAATAAAAAATCAAAATGCTTCAGAACTAGTTTTTACAGACAATTGTAAAAGGAAAGTATTTCCATACTTGTTTTGAAGTCTTACTCTCCACATGCTTCCAGACCCCATATGTTTGTGAACCTAGATATGCAGTGTTTACATGAAAGCTGTGACATCAGTTGAATGTTTTGCTTGAATCTGTTGTCGAATGATGTTTAAGTGTCTGCGTTAGGATAGATTTTGACATTCAGGCACTGTAAGAAGTAATGCTTGCCTGGCTTCATCCGTTGCTGGTTTTGAAGGCCATCGCAAATATTGGCAGACCAAAGTAGTCTTAGGTTGATTCACTTCATGATTATGATGTCAGAAAATTACAACATTTTAGTGTTGTCTGAAAATATCCAAAACCGCATGCCGACATTTAGTTTTCCTGTGAATGAAAGCATTTTTGATAGATACTTGATGTAAAATGTCAAACTGAACTTGTACAGTTAAGATAGGAAAACTCTGGGATAGGTTTTTCAATTAATTTATCCTGCAGAGAAGTCTTTTGTGAAGTGAAATGAATCACTGATTTGTCTAGATCACATGCTCAAAGATGTTCTTAGTCCACACAAGCAAATCTTTTGGACTATAGGTTTGCTCACATCGCTTCTCAGTGCTCATTAAACCTTTTTTGTGCCCACTTACTGTACTGTATTATCATAGAATGTCTACGCAATCTATAACATCCACAATGGGGATGTTATAGTTTGCAGATGCTTTGACTTCAGATGTTATGCAACTTTGTGTAGAATGTAAATTTGTGTTACAGTAAAAGAACATGTCCATCCATCATTTACAATGTCTGCAGGGGATTGTTTTGCTTGAATGCTTTAACTTATTAACAGCGAATGAGGGGAGTACCACACCTCACACAACCTTATCCTAACATTAACACTACAAGAGTACTGTATTTGTTTATATTCAGTTTGTATTGCCTCTGAATCGACTGACTATATGTTGAGTAAAAAGAGAAACGAGTAGTTGTGACAAATGTAAATATCCTAGAATCCTCCAAAGCACCCATTGTTTAAGTAAACGAAACAGGCAGTATGTTGTAAGTGCCTCTATGAGGCCCATGTAGGCTTAACTTAAAGTTAGATTTAACTAGCTAGACCTTTGATGTAATGCTTAATAGGTCAGTGGTTTTTACTAAATATGTACATATCTGTATCTACATATACATTAAAGCCACAACCTATGTATGTATACCATATGAGGGGAGGGCAAGAAATTCCATAACCCCTGATTCTGATCTCCTATGCATGTAAAGTGATGTTTGGCTTTCCCTAAAAATCCTAAAAGTCCCATGCACAAACTTGGTTTCCAGTTATAAATACATACTTTTGAGGTATGTTTGCATATTTTTTATTATTATTATGTTTTGCTTTACTGTTATCACATGATTAGGGTTTTTTTTTAATCTATGTAATTATCCAGTGACCTGTAATGATGGCTTGAAAGAAGGTTCAGAGTGTAAATTTGGTATTTGCTTTGATAAGAACTGATTTGAGTACATGTGCTTTATGTTAATCAATATAAACGTACAATGAGTATGAATATTTCAGTGATCACGACTAATGTATCGAAAAACGTTTGATAAATGTGCAGCTTTGTGGGAAAATATGCAGAACTGTACTGTAAAAACCTTCTAGAAAGGAAGAGAATGAAGCTGAACTTTGTGCTTTGAGAAGGGTGGAAGTGGAACTGTGAATTCAGTTAAACGCCTGTGTGTGTCACTATTGTGCATAACAAGATAGTTAGACTAACTTGTAGTGGCCATTAAGAGGATGATGAGTGAATAAAATCTCAAATCCCCAACAGGGGAAAAATTAGGTAAACTGTTCCTTGAATTTGCCCTAGGGATCAAATTTATAACTAATGTACAGATTAAAATAATGCATACACCACCCTTTAAACAAATCAGGCAGTAATATTTACATTTGTAAAGTGCTGGAGCAATATAAGAGCATAGGAATAATGTCAAAGACACCTGTATTTGGTATTTGTGTAATGTTAAAGATATTTCTTGTTGTTTTATTTTACTTATGCCATGTTCATAGCTTCGTAGCTATGTTGTGTGGAAATGAGTGAATAAGACAAAGACACAGTCAGAACTGCATATTTTGTCCCCAAAACATCAGATCCTAAATGAGGCTGTCACAATGTCAGATTTTTCACAATAACAATATTATTGCGATATCTATCAAAATGAAAAAAAGAAAACAAAGCAATAACGACGAATCTCATCCTCCTTCAACTTTGTGCACTATGTATTTTGTGTTTTTGTGTATTTTTGGGCAATACACAAAGTATGAGTCTAAGGCTGGGGAAGATGTCTGCAAACATAACTGTACTAAATTGAGGAAAAAGATATTAAAGTGTAATTTATGACCAGACAAATAATATTGTTTTACTGTCCAATAGTGGCTAATGTATTTATATTCATACATAGGAGCTCTCACTTGACAATAGGAGAGAGTCATATACAGTAACGGTTATATGTCTGCATTTAACACATCTAGAAAAAAAATATTTTATTGATATTAACAGAATTCAGTGACTTCACTTAATGTCTTGGTTAAATTAAGATGTACTGAGCAGTAATTGTAAGCTTGTAAGCTACATTTACTGCAAAAGTGACTTTTACTAGTTATGAACTGTGCTGTGTTTTTATTTTTTTTTTGGTTTGTTTGGTTTTTTTTTTTGTCTGGCACCTTTCTACTGGATACTGATAGAAGAAGGAAGTCAAATGAAGAGATGAAGGACCCACAGGAAGAGCTTATACAGCATCAACAATGGATCATTGCATTGTAAATTAATGTTTGCTGGTGTGACCACAACAGAAGTGTTTTATCTCTTGAAAGATGTTTAATGGCATCACACAATTTGCTAGATTTGTTAAATGAATGAACTTCATAGTGGGGTGTTGTTGACAAGCATTTTCTGGAATTAGTACCTGTGTTTTCAAGTGTAGCTTAAGGGTAGGTGTTAAACCCCTGAAACTGTGTCTGGGAGTAATGCCACAATCTCACAATCTGAAGTCCAATAATACTTTTGTGGATGTGAAAACCTCCATGAATGGCATTCAGTATGTTTCTATGTGTCCATGTGTCAAAATGTCAAAAATGTATTTTCCGTCAAGTATACACATCATTCAAATGAAAATGTACACACGCACTCACACAGACTAGTGAAGAACTGATTAGAGTCTCCCTAATCCTGCTCACTTTGAAATGTTCTGTGCATAACTCACCGATTTAACAATGACTGCTGTATTCACTGAAAGTTGAAGTGCAACTTTGCAAAGTTGGTCAGTTGGCTGGTAGCAAGTTTCATTCAGTCTATTGTTTGTTTTTTTAATAATGTCAGTTGTCATTTTTATCGTCACTGATACTTGAGTATAAATTATAAATGTGTGATTACAAAAAAGTACAGCAACTCTGCCCATAATAAGCAAAATCTATCCCAACTTAAATCTCACCAATCTCCTTGTGCAGCTCTGGACCACACCCAGCAATGCTGTCATTTTAGTTTGCTTCCTATACGTCCACTTTGTACTTGCACTCTGCATCTGTGATTTCACCATAGACCCCAGAGTAATATATTCAGTGACTGCTAGAGAACTGTGGTGCGTGCCGCAATGACACAGTCTTCACCCATCCTGTTTGCCATATTTGGCTCCTTGCGACATTGTTCCTCGGACACAACGGAGGGGATCCGGCTAACATCACAAATGCAGAATGCAATTTGTCAGAATGGGACTTCACAGGAATGTACTAAAAAAAGCAACCTCTACACTCATTTTTTATGTGCAGAGTTGCAGAACTTAAGTTATACGCAAAGTTACTGTCTGTACATATCTATGAGACAGACTGGTTTTTTGTAGCTTGTTGTAGATGTCATTACAGTTTAAATGTGTGAACCTCATTCTGACACTGTTAACCTGCAGTTTACAGGTAATAGCAATCCTTGATTATTTTCCTATTGTACATAATATTAACAGAATTAATAACCTGGACTACAAAAGTCCCTATTATTGACATTCAGAATATGAGAACAAGAAAAACAATGACTTTACAACTAAGACTGGTTTATATCAGTTAAGCACTTTTATAAATTAATCAGTTTGTTTATAACGTTTTACTGTGCATGCTATTTCACAAACTCTGTGGACCTGATATTAATGGCTTTCTGTTCTTTTCTTTACAGTGTTAAGTTTCTAGCATTCGCCCTCTCTCTAATGAAGAGTCCATAACCGGTAAACACAAATTTGCGGCGGGAGCCACATAACGACAGGTGTCACACGGATGGACAGTTTAAAGGAGATCTTTGGGGTGACAAGAGAGACCAGAGGTTAATCATGAATTAAAAAATCATATGGTCTGCTCCTCACATTGTTACCAAAGCAGCCTCTCGGAACTCCAACCACACTTTTTACAGCTGTCTGACTGACCTTTTCTTTTCCTTTCCTTTGGCAAACTGACTGAGCATTGCACTTACACACTTTTGGGAGAAAAAAGGACCCCTTAGTTCACATTCCAGATGACATCTCTCTGACACTAATACTCGCCATCTTGTATGAAGACCAACTCAGTGCTGTCTACAGTACTGAACAACTGAGCAACTTTGAGTTTCTGAAAAAACAAAACAAACAAACAAAAAAAAACACGTCTTCAAAGGGACTGAATGAACAATGTAGCATCTCTGCTAACATATTGTAGCATTTGTTGGCTGGGAAATAACTTGACTTAACTCATCAACCGTTCACAGAGAGAGGAATTTATGCATTCAAGGGATCTTTTAGATGTCATTTTCCTCTTGGGTTCCTTTTCCAGTTAAAAAAAACAAAAACAAAAAACGAGTACACGAGAGACAAAGGATTGGTCTTACTCATTAAAACACCTGGCATTCACACACATATATTTTATATATATATTCATAAATATATATACATATATATGGCCCATTTGGGGGACCCTGTGTGTATATATATATATATATATATTGATATGTATATATGTATACATATATATATATATTACACCCATATGGTCCCTTGTTCAAGCTTAGCACGTGTATAATATGTTTGCCACTGAATCTATGTCTTCCATTAACTTTTATCTGACTGAAACACTGCCCTCCTCACAGCACTGATATAAAAAAAACTACAAACTATACCAAGTGTGAAGCACATGTAAACAAAGCACATGTAGCATCTGCTCAAACATGTCACATATGGCATTTACTGTACATTTATACTCACCTGAAACAGTCACTGCAACAAAATAGTGAGAAAAGACTTGTCTTTATCTCTCATGTACCGACATGGGCTTGCCCAAAGGTCCTGTAGCATGCACTTGCTGAATGACCTTCTTTAATGTGTTGTAGATTGAGGAAATATTCCATTAAGGTTGAGTTTTATACTTGCCCTACAATTCACTGCCCAAAAGAACTTACTTATTAAACTGCCACTATCCCTATCCTGATTTGCACATATAGAATATTTTCCCATGTCTGACTGACTCAGCATTCAGCCATGGGAAGTAAAGAGAGATGAAGTCCTCATCGATCAAGGGATAGCAGCCTTCCTGAATGACAAATAAGACCATACCACTACAAGAACTGTTTTTAATTCACTCTCCAGTGGTTGTAATTTCAATGTTATTTTGAAAGGGACCAATCCAATAAATATTCTCCCTCAACACAAAGGCTGTCACTGCCAGTCAAGGCACAGCACTCCCAGGACTCATACTGCCCCATCTCTCACTTGCCCTTGATGTGAACGATTTCACGGGCAAGTCGGTGTCAAGATAAAGATGGCCCATTTCGGGGACCCTTACGCGAAGAGTTAAACCAGAAGACGTGGACCAAGAGTAGAGCAAACGCGGAAGTGTACAAAGAGAACAAATCTATATTTTGATAAACAAATCCACAACTCTCCATTACTTTGGAGGAGATTTCTGAGCAGAAAAAAAGTCCAGAATGACAGAAAAAATAAGAGTCAGATGCAAATGTAATTTGAGTATTTGGCATCAAGAAATGGAGTCAAAGTCCTATAAAAATACAGAGAGAAAATAATCTGTTATGAGGGGTGTGCAAAGCTGTTTACCCCACAAGCACTGAGAAAATGTTTTCTGAAAGACAATGAGCAATGACAGACTGCACCTACAAAGACATGGGGATGATGGAGGATGGACGATGAGATAAACAAATGGAGAAAAAAGATAATGCATTTTTGTAACTTTGTTTACCAGCATGACTACTTTGCATGACTGTCTTTTCTGCAAGCCCTTAGTTGAAGACAAGGGTGCTAGAGATACAAAAAAATATATATAAAATTAATTAAAAAAAATGTTATATGCAATTAATGTTTTAAAAAAGATTATAATGAAAGAGAAGAGCTATATTTTGTTTTGAAAAGTTAAAAAAAATGTGAATATTGAAACATGTATGTTTGCAAAGTACACCCTGAACTATGTTTTGTTTGATGAAATCTCTCTGCTACTACTGCCCTACATTCGTCATTCCAGTGTTTTTGACGTTTTCTGTCACTGTTTTATTTTCTAATGCACTGAGCAGTATATTTTTTAACTCTTCTAAGTCAACAGTGGTCGTTCAAGACTTTGCCTATAGCACCTGCGCAAAGGCTTTCTTTCCTGGGATGTTCTTTGGTTTTTTGTTAGGTCCATGTTTTCCTCCTTGATTCATTTGCACAACTTACGTAGCAGCAGCAGCAAGAGCAGCAGCAGTTCTAAAACAGCAGCACTCCATACCACAACTTTGACAGCTTGAATACTACTCATAGTTTGCTTTTTTCTTTGGCAATAATACAGTAGTTGTCACAAGATTGTAGCAGGTCAAATGGAGAACCTTGAGTCCTTGGAGTATCTTTAAAATCTCAGTGTTAGAGATTTATAAAGGCCTTGGATGTCCCATGGCAAGATTTTGCTAGGATAGGCAATTCTGTTCCATTCATAGAAACATGGGAGTAGATGTGTAGGTTATCCAATAAAGACCAATAACAGTACAAAAGATACTATATTGGCAAATAGTCGGAGATATCAGGTTTGCATGGAACCAACTGCCATTCCAAAATTTGTGTGGTTTTAAGGACTCAGGTGTGTCAATGATGTGCTTGGATGTAGGTGTTTTGCTATTTTCTTTCTAAGATAAAAAAAAAAAATCCTAGTATATAGACGACGATAATGTGAACACCTCACAGTGATGTGTAAAAACGCATGCATTATGACTTGATAATCTCTCAAGGGGGGGAACAGAGTCTTGACATATTCCCTTAGCCTCCTATCATTGTTTGTCATGAATCCAGTCCTGATAACTATAAACACTGTGCCGTGTTGTAGAGCAGAAACGTCTTCCTCCAAGAGGCAACTGAAAACTACTCACACTCGCAGTGTCAGCATGAGTGTGTAGAGGTAGCTCGTCTTCGTTTTTTTAGATGGTCAGGTCTTTGCATTCGTCACTTACCATGATTATCGTCATCCAGCTGGCTAGTTGGCAGCTTATTACAGCAAACAGCACAGTCATGTGAGTACCAATCAAAAAGACCCAGAGCTTCCAAAATGATGTCAGAAAGTGGGAACGAAAGGGTGAGAAATACCAGTGTCCACCAAGGGGAGATTGATAATGATGTAATAAGTAAAAAATAATGTCACTGTTGAGTGCTCTCTAAGCCCCTCATCCTTGTCTTGGTATTCCAAGTGAGTTTCAGGCCCTGCTGGTCCAGGGCTTAGCTCAGGCAGCTGCACGGTTCTTTGTCCATTCCTAGTACATTGCAGTTGGAGGCTCACCAGAATATGAGACTCAGTGGTGTGATGTAGACTGTAGAAGTCCTTCAAAAATTCTGTCGAGTCTACACTGGTTTTACAGGGTCTAGAACTTTTGTCTATTTGCATTAAATGGTCCATGGAATTTCTTTTTTGGTCCCGTATCTTTTTAAAACTCACAATTTCAGTTCCCATTTTGGAAGGCATTAAGCTACCATGGCTTTGATGGTCACAAAGATGTTTATGAATATTTCAGAGGTAAACTTCTTGCAATGGTGCGCACACTTGCAAAAACCTTGTGCTTCACCCAGCTGTTTTTGTTTTTATGGCCAAGTAGTGTCTTTTCCTCTTTTTATTTTTCATGGTTACAGTCTTTATTTCCTTCATTCTCTACGTTGTGGCTGCTCTGCCAATGCCAGGCTGAAAAAGATGTCTTTCCTTTTCCAATGCATAATACTGCCATTTGATTTAGACACGTTTAAAGAGAATGAGTTACAATGTTGAGAGTGCTAAGTCTGTTTTATTTTTACAATCTGTTAAAAATGTTATAAATTTCATGTAGAAACACTCACCGTAACCAAAAGAACAAATTTGCTTTACATGGTAAGGAGGTGCAACTGTTGTGACAATGACTATTATGTATGTGGACATGTCATCTGCAGGTGTTGGGAAAGTGTCATGTGGTCCTTGGATGACACATACTCAGTGGTAACCATTTTCTTTATATGCTCGTTTATGTTTAATATGTTTTTCTGTTTTTCTTTTTTAAGTTGAGGACACGGTATGCAATCTGCACCACGAATGCCACTGATAGACACTTACTGTATGCTCCCTGAGACACAGATATTCTGTCATCAGTTTAGATGATTGCAATGTGTAGTGGCTTTATGGTTTTCCATAGAGTAACTTAGCAATCACACTAATTGAAAAATATTTTATTTTACAAATTAATAATAACAGAGTTGTTATCAATGTTATCATACTAACTACATTTTTCTAACATATATCATATATCTTATTTTAATTAGAAATATAATGATTAAAACAAAGTCATACCCAATATACGTTGAACTAACAGTACATAGTATCATTATGCATCCAAAGATGAAGACATATTCATTTTAGAAGCTATCAAACTGTCTAAAACAGACTTAAGTACTAGTCCATTGTACTGCGGTCTAAGTAGGAGAGTGAATGGGGCGAAGAGGTGGTCACTGGATTATCTGGTTGTGACTTATGCCGGATTTTATTTTTGAAATGTTGTAAAACAAAGAACAACTCATCAAGAACTGTATAAAGTATATTTCAATGGAATGTTCATGATCTATCTTTTTATATTTTGAAGAAAAAATAGAAACATATCAATAAAGTGTCATAATTGAACATATTTCTACTATTGAGACTTATAATGTATGAATGTCAATGCGATCTAATGTGAATCTCAATCTTCATAGCAGCTTGAATGAATAACAAACTAAAAGTCATGAGATGCTTTTTCAGAGACATTAAAATTGCTTAAAATCATTGAAATTAACTTAAAATAAATGAAAAAGTAACACCACTCGTGTGTCTGTTTAAGATTTCTGATCAAATGTGGGCATCTGTGAACACCGGCTGAATATGACTGATAGAGTGACATTTTGCACCGACTGTCACAGTTAACACTGTTTATCAGCCTGTCGGGAACAGGATACCACAATAAAGTGATTGATATAATTTGATATGAAGTGAGAACACAGTGAAATCCAAAGCCGTCCAAGAAACTGGAGACTGACATTGAATTCATGACTGGAAGGACATGGTGTATATCAGTGCCAGCATTTACAAGAAGTTTCTGTTTAAGTCAGTAACTGTTACTTTGAGAAACAGTCACATAATGGCAATCGATAAATTTGAGGTCAGCAGTAATTGTGTCATGATATTTAAGATTGAGGATGTAATCTAAGAGCTATCTTCCCAGCTTGATATCAGATAACTGTAACTTATAATATTCCTGACACTGGATACCAACATATCCCTTCCTGTTCCAAAGGAGAGGAACAGGAATGTCTATAAAGACATGGACGAGTGAGTATGGTGTCGAAGAACTTGACTGGCTTGCACAGAGTCCTGATCAACCCAATAGAACACCTTTGGGATAAATCAGAGTGGAGACTGTGAACAAGGCCTTCGCATCTGACCTAAAAAATGCACCTTTGAAAGAATCACCAAAAACTCCCATAAATACACTCCTAAACCTTTTGGAAAGCCTTCCTAGAAAAGTTGAAGCTGTTATAGCTTCAGAGGGTGAGCCAACATCATATTAAATGCTATGGAATTATCACTCAAGTTATACTGATGAAGGCAAAATTTTTGGCAATAAAGTATATAACTTACTACCTGTAATATTTTATACCTCAACTATGGACTGTTTGGAAGAAAAAAACCCAGATATTTAGAAACCTGGTTGTGAAGCGCCATTTTGAAGCATTTCAGTCACATGCCTGTTGTTGTTGTTGTTTTTTACCTCAAAGTGACCATATTTGAACGAAGAGCCAGTCTGTTAACTAATGCTAGCTAATGCTAGCTGGCTTTGTTAGCAACCTACGTCCATATACTGGTATGTGTGCATTGAACAGAGGCAAACACCCATTAATTCAGGCAAACTAACCGACAGATACTAAGTTTTTTACTTACTAAAGTTCTTTGGAGGGGCTTTTACTATAGTTAACAATATGACACACTGTTTTATTTCGCTAAATGCTTCGGAAAGCAGCAACTCAATTTAGCTGATGTCAAGTAGCAAATAGCTAGCCATTGTCTGTGTCAACATCAGGGACAGCATAAAAGATGGATGTAGTTACCATGATGGTACCCACTGGTTTCTGAGGTCGTGTTTTTTGGAGCCTTGAGGTGAGTGTTTCTTCCGTTGCCATCTGGCTTGCTAAAGAGAAAAAAACTACTAGTGAGGAATATGTCTGACTGTGAAACTGCGCACTCATTGGCTAATGAGTTATGTTTGATAAGAAATATTCAGTGTGTGGATTCATACCACAGACAACTCTCCATTAAAAAAAAAACATATGACCAAAATTTACAAAACAAAATTAAAACAATATTTTAAAAAATAAACTACTATGGGACTGTAAGTCTTTTTTGCAGTTACAGTCACCTATCTAGTAGCCTGTAGACAGAAAGCAGATTTAAGACACTCCTGCAGTGCCTTAATTTTTCCAACCCGGAAGCTACGACTGTCTTATATGCTGTCTAGGTTCAGTACTCATTTCTATCACTTTTAACACAATGCAGCCTCATTTTGAGTAAAATTTGTTACCGGGAGAAAGTAGCTTCAGAAACCAAAGCTTGTTGAACCTCTTAAAAGAAAACTTGCGCAGTGGAACAAGATTACTGCATAACATTTGCACTACTGCTGCTTGGAAAATAAAGGCAGTGAAGCTGGTGCAGGGGCCACATGCTAAGAAATAAAAATGTGTTCTAATGAATTGGCTGTTCTTTCTACTCATGGTTACCAACTGTCGGTTTCAAACTGTGTTGTGAAATTGTAGTGGTTATGTGTAGCCATCCCATGGGGGTCACAAGATGTAATGACTGTGCTGCATAGCTGCACGAACAGCAGAGTTATACGGCACTATATAGAACCAGGAGCAATCAGGTTATTATGAATATTGCAACACCAAGAATACCACAAAACGATTGATTTCCACAATTTTAACCCAAAACAAAAAATCTAGCTGAATTCCCTCTTGCATTTTATTGATACTTTATATTCACAAAGCGTTGAAATATTTGTATCTGTATATGCCTGAGTGTATTGGTTTGTAAAACAAATGGTCATCAGATTCTTAGTAAGCAGACTGTGATCAAATGACAGTGTATTATATCAGCCCGGATGGCAGTTTGTTTTTTTGCCAACAGCTATTAGAAATGTCTGCAGAGGCCTTTTTCAGTTTTTCTCCTTTGTGCCTAAACATCACCTCCCTCTGGTGGTAAAACATAGTAGTAGTCCACTTTGGTAGAGATGTGACACATTACTGAAAACAATAACAGCTTGGTATTCTTCTTGTAGGGCACATTTATCTTTTTTTAATATAGTTTTATATTATTTCTTTTTTGTTTATGGGTAACAAATGACACCTCAGAAGACAGCCCTGTCATTAAATGTAACAATGGCTTGAATCTGATTGCTTCTAGTAGATTATCTCTCTACAGTCATGACAGTCCAAAAAAATAAAAATAAAAATAAACAAATTTGGTAATATTCTTCTCGTATTGTCCGTTTGTAGCGCATACCCCTGTAAGTTGTCACAGACACTTGAATGATTTTCCACCCAACTGCATGAACTAGCAGATCCAAGGTGTAGGCGGTAGCTCTTTTTCCCCCCATGAAGCCTGTTGTGTGGCACAGCTATCGTCAGCAACAGATTGAGAGTCTGGTGGGGGCTGATCCTGATTTAGAGGTGATGGAGGCAGACAAGGGTCCAATTTCCTTTGAACTCAAAGTATCATTATCTGTGAAATGAGGGTGAATATGTGATATAGCAAAATAAAACCTACACTGGTAAATAATTTATTATTGTGCCGCTCCACAAATAGAAAAATGTGAGCCAGTCCACCTAATAGGTTCAGTGACACTGAAGACATTTTTGTACATAAAAATAACAAAAGCACGAGATGTATTAAATAAAAAAAATAATGGATGATGATTTCACTTGTGTTTGCCAACTTGTGGAATAGTTTAGTGGTGGACTTTGTGAAAATCAACCCTAACAATATTTACATAAATGAAGATATGTCAAAAGCTCATTTTTAATATGAGCTTTGTAAGAAATTCAAGTGATTGTGCTTTTACATTTTTGTATACTACAAAAATTTATTAAATTTGGTGTAAAAATAAATGACTGTGATGTAAAAAGTAACACTGGTGTAGTTGATTATGGTAGTTATACTGTAAAATAACAATTTCATGCTGGCAAACAGATCCAAGTAGTTTATTGCAATTTAACATGAAATTTTGTTGCAGCGATTTCCAATCGCAGGCTGCAGCATTGGTTTAAGTGAGTGTAATTGGAGGAGCCTACTGAAGACGCTAGAAAATGGAATTAATTAGAAAGCTTTGAAAATATGTTTTCTATATGTTCGTTCTATGACGCTCAAACTCCACAGTTCTGGTTTTTAATCTACGCACATTCAAATCCAGTCATTTCGACTTAATGAAAAACAGTGAGGGTTTTCTGTCATTCACACGCCCATGCTTGTTAGAGATGGCAATACCATGCAGAGGTGACATTTGATAGGGAGGTTGAAGGTTGAAATGCCCCCTAGCTAAAATGGAGGGAAGGGACACGAAGGGGGTGGAGGGGTCCAGCACAGATCAAATTTCAACAGGACAGCATTCCCCCCAAAATTTGAAGGCAGACAACGTGAGGCAGTGAGGGACAGGGCGAGATCCTGGATGTTCCCGGAGCAAATAACTGGAAGTAGAGTTTGTGTAAAGGTATTAGAGTTAAACCTCTGTGTGATAAGTTAGATAGCCAAACAAGGGCTTTGTGCATGTGACAGGCAGACACGATGATAGAGAGGAAGAGAGACAACCTGATGAGCCGAAGGAAACAATGTGATTTTTCACCCCGTCATTAGCCTCTGCCAGCAGCTGTTTTTCTTAGTGAGTAAATTATATTCATTAACTGGGTACTAACATTGTTTGTTGTCTTGCCTTCAATTCATCTAAAAACAAAACCATGAATTAACTTTTAATGTAATGAAATCTGTCATGAAATGTCAATTTCCCCTCTTTAGTCCTTTGCTGCTAATACTTATCAACTGAAAACCTATTTCGCTGATGTAATTATCACTCTGGTTTTAAACAGGTTTTCTTTTAAGTCCAGGTGTTCAAAAATCTCAAGAGGGTGATTTGCAGCATTCCCTCGGTTAGGATAATAACAGGGATGGAAAGCAGGGATCCACAGTCCAGTGACGGAGAAGGCAGAGGGAAAGAGAGCGATGAGGAGAAGGACAAGCATCTCAAGGACCAGCTTGACAGTGAGGAGAAAGGAGAGAAGGAGATCAGGGGAAACGAGAAAGAGAAGAAGAAAGAAAAACGTCGCTCAGGATCTCTATGGAGGAATGGATGGGCACTGAGTGAAAGACTGGCCATCAATGTATCAGGGATGCGTTATGAAACTCAGCTTCGCACCTTAGCCCAATTCCCTGACTCCATGCTCGGCGACCCCAGACGAAGGTCACGCTACTTTGACCCACTTCGAAATGAGCTCTTCCTGGACCGCAATCGAGCCTGCTTTGATGCCATTCTGTATTTTTACCAGTCAGGGGGTAGGCTTCGGAGGCCTGCAAACATACCCCTGGATATTTTCATGGATGAGCTGATATTCTATGAGCTCGGAGAGGACATCATGAACCGCTTCAAGGAGGACGAAGGTTTTCCAAAAGAAGAGGAGAGGCCTTTGCCATCCAATAGACTCCAGAGAAAACTGTGGATGCTGTTTGAGCACCCAGAGTCCTCATCGGGTGCACGCATCATCGCCATCATTAGTGTGATGGTAA